CCGTGACCCCGACGTGATAAGGCGCCCGGCGGGGAACCCCCCGCGGCAACTAAAAGTCCACTGCCGGTGCGCCGTGTTCTACTCGTCCATATTATGTAGTGCAAGTAATGTAAATTTTGTCTTTTCATGAGAAGAATTATGTCAACAAACATATAATACCTTTTCCTTCTATATATGTACAAGTTATGAAATGTACTTAGGATTTTAACAAGCGACACAGCTTCTGTCTCTCTTGTAAAATTTTGCTTTCTCGGCTTGTGACACTTTAACAGCTGTCAGACAATATGTGAGGCAGCGTGGTGGAATCAGGCTCTCGTCAATTTTTGGCCATGTAGAGTTATTGGCATCACCTTAAAGCTTGATCACTTGTCTTTTTTTGGATGAAAAAAATATCCATTTATCTTGAATACAAGTTGAAATATTTGCGAAAGAAGTAGGTGGGGGTCACCTGTTTTCAGAGGTAAAATTAGTGAGAAAATGGCGCCAAAGATTAGTTATTTCCTTAGCTTAAGAGTCCGTGGTAACCGAAAATTTACATTTTTTGTGTGTTTAATCAACGTTTTTCAGAAAAATCTACACAGAAAAGAGTTCTTTAATGGGTATGAAAGGTGTTGAGCCAAAAAACAAAAATTTGATAAAAATTCACAAACCTGCGGAAAAAGGCATGTTTCTTCACTTTGATTATTTTGCCGAGAGCCTGATTCCACCGCGCTGCCTCACAATATGTAATTAATTACTACTACTAAAAATAGTTTACACAAGACCTAGCATCTGATCTGACCAGTAACAAAGGAGTCCCCTTTAATGTTCTTTTTATTCGAGCTCTGCTTGCCACAAAGAAATTCCGTGGCCTTGTGAAGTTTGTATTATCAGGGTTGTACCCCATGGAAACACAAGAGCAGGGACTCAAAATTTACCGATCACATTGTCTTATACATCTTGCATCACGACTAATTTTAGTCGATCAGAATTGCCATGGGAACCACAAATATGTACGAAAGGTCAGAATCCTATTCAGAATCCCTAGGGGTTTCTGAACCTTAACCCTCCCAGCCCCAGGCATTTGTGTGCACTGCCTAACCCCAGTCCTCGCCAATACAGCAGTATTTCAGAAAAAGAGCTATGCATTCTGAAAAGTGATGTAGTATCTTTGTAATGAGGTTTAGATAATAACATATAACAATGTTTAAAGGTAAATAAATAAATATTATGAAAATTAAAGTTTAATTAGGCTCATTTATTTAAAAAATGCCCAAATTCGATCCCCCCGAAACTGAGAATATACGCTCTTGGGACGGTGGGAGATAAATGCGCAGCTGAAAATATACGCACTCGGGGCTGAAAGGGTTAAAAACCAGAAATCAATAGTTTTTAAAATGCCTTTAAATCTCATAACTAATAACCAACATGAACAGGCAGTTTTCTTCAAAAACAAATCATGACTTAAGCTACAGACATTTAGTCAAATTTATAATGCAGTAGTATAACTTCTATGTATAAGCCATCACAAGTTGTTATTTATCCTAGACAATTTGAAAAAAAAATGAAACTCCCAAAATATTCTGACAAACTCACAGAGAAGACTTTCCAGGTATTTGTCAAAAGTCATGGTTGGGAACAAGCGCATGAAAGGTCTCAGGATCTCCAACGAAAGAGTGCTGTCAAAGCGACGCCTCATGTGGCCTGTGGAAGGGGGGGACAAAGAAGACTTTACTAATTTGAACAAAGGAAAGTGGTACACTTCTTACTTTTAGCTTGACTTTTACACATATCTATATATCGCTACCTCACAATTACAAAGTTCTATCTGCTCAGTGTCAAGTTTTGAGAAATTTGATGTCAAAGATTTTGGGTTTCGTATCATATCAAGCTTTTTCAAATGTAATACTTCGAATATCTTGATAAGGACTTCGAATAATCTTACAATTTTGATAGAGCAGATAGAACATTTGGTTTCTGACCTTATGGTTTTAGTAACTCAAAGCAGCCAAGAATGTCAGATAGAACTTTGTAACTCAGAGGTAGCGATATGTTATTTACACATTGCATATTTTCATAACCTATTTGATAGTCTGCCCTATTTCTTAATACAATAACATGATATAATAATACTTGTATATTTTCTAAGTAAATGAATCTGAAATTTTAAAATGTCACCCCAAAATAGCTCTTAAGCTGTCCCCGTAGTTTTATGCACCCCGCATAATTTAACAAAATTTGATCATTTTTTGCATAAATTCTGATTATTTTCTTTTATCCTTCTTTGTTCAAATTAACAGAGTCGCATAATTTCACATTTTTGGGCTCAGTTTGCATAATTTCAAAATTTTTCCTAGCATACAACAAAAGGGACAGCTTAAGGCCTTTTGACCAGGGTTGTAAAAAAAAGTCCTCTTCGGTTTTCAAAAGACTTCGTCTAATCAAAGGGTTAATGGTTCAGAAGTACAAAAGAGATACCCCAGATGAGATTGATGCTAAGAATAACTTGTACTCATTGTATCGAGCCATGAGAGGTTCTCAGAACTTCATGCAAATGCTAATGAGAACCTCTCATGGCTCGACAAATACTTTATGAACATCATGATTTCCCAACACAAAATTAATTCTTTCCGGACTTATCGCCGATATCACACCCCTTGCGGACGTATCACCGATATATCGGCTGGGATAGGGTGTCTCAGTATTGTTTCATTTTAACACGATCCGTCATTTAAAATTACTTTTTATTGCTATTGAAAAACTCGGAAAGGATTTAGGAAACGAAAACATCTAGTTTCACTTTGTCAAAGCGTGGGTTTGGGAAAAAACGAGTGAATTGGTTCTTGCGGTCTTGCATCAACAAAACGATGTAACCGGACTCCGTATAAATATCATAACTCAAAAAAAAAAATGGAATATTGCTTTCAAATAAAAAGCTGCGAATTCAGAAATTTTTGGATTATGCTCTTGGCCTGTATATGATAAGATAGCTATGCTGATTCGCTTTGACATGTTTGGTGAATGTAATTTATTCCATCAAAATTGATTTTTAGCAAGTGGCTATTCTCCGGCGCCTTTTTGAACGACCTGTGTTGTTGAAATCGCGGTAAAACACTTGACACAAATGTTAGCGGAATACGACGGTTCATTTTCGTCCCTCATATCAATCCCATTAATCAAGAGAATATCTCCTGCCATTGTCTAACATAATCAGGGCTTTATGTACTTTTTTTCTCTTTGGCATTTCAATTTAAATGCCCACAGACCCGGCAAAGTTCATTCAGAGACTGTCTATGGCTCTCAAATGTCTGACTCATTACAGTTTACCAATTTTTACTTAGGAACGCAATTCACTAACTGATTGCCAGTCTGTGAAAAGTGCTGGTAAAACAAAATTCACATCATTAGAAAATATGATTTGATGACTATCACACCGCGCACACAGAAATGAAAACAACCGACTCATTTTGGAAGGATTTGTGTCATGATGCAGAGAAATCAGGCGCTTGTCAATTTTTGGGCATATGGAGTTATTGGTTTCATTTTAAAGGTTGTTCATTTGCCTTGCTTAGGGGGACAACATTATCCTTTAATCTTGAAAAGAAGTCAAGATATTTGCGATTAAAGGAGGTGGGGTCGCCTGGTTTCAGAGGTGAGATAAGGGAGAAAATAACGGTCAAAGTTTGGTGACTTCCATAGCTTAAGAGTCCTTGGAAACGGCAAAGTTAAATTTGCTGTGCCTTTAATCAAGGTTTTTCCATAAAATCCACACATGAAAGTGTTTTTGAATGGACGTACCAGGTGTTGAGCCAAAAAATAAAAAATTAGAAAAAAAATTACAAACTGTCTGAAAAATGCCGATTTCTCGGATTTCATTATTTTGACTAGCGCCTGATTTCACCACGATGCCTCACATTTGTAATTAAATTTGAAGAGATCACATTTTCAATGGCACTTTCGATCACTTTACACCCACAATTTAAAACTATTATTATTCACAAACAAATCAATGAAAACTGGTGAAACTTTAACAAGATACCAAGAAGACGTAGAAGAAGCAAAATTGGCGAAGAAATAGATTCTGGGTGTAGAGTGAGCATCCTTTTACGGCTCTTGAAATTAGGGGAAGAAACGCATTCTGATAAGGACAAGATAGGATAACACTGTGCACAAGTTGACCCCAGTCAATCCTCGACCCGGCGCGTGAAACTGCAGGTCACCTGCCACTGATTTATGGCCCCACGCGGGGGGGTCAGGACAATTTAAAAGATCGCTGACACGGAATATTGGACGCCGTGAGATAAACTAGAAAATCCCGCAGATTTCAGTTTAAGGCCAAGGTCGGCAGATAGAATCGAATATTTCCTTTAATTTTAGGATTTTCTGTTTATGCAATATTATTAGTCTATATCCACTTACTCCTCTTGGGAAATACATTCTAGACCCTAAAACTGTCTATAAGTCCATGAAAAAGAAACCTACAGACAGGCAGGTAATCACAGAATTCACAGTTTGTGCTCAAAGTACGGCTGAAATAGTGTGAACTAGAAGGAAAAGGGAGTTGGAAGAACTTGAGGGTGGTCCAAGTTATGCTGCT